GTGTAGAATTTTAGGAGATATTTGAAAAGTTTTTACTAACAAGAAGAAGGAAGATGGGTTAACCAGGAAAGGCATTGAAGAAAAATTTCTCAAAAATTGGAAACTTTGAGTCAGCTAATTTTTGGCTATAAAGAATTTTTTCATTCTTTTTTCAGTAATACTCATATGCTTTTATTTTTTAAAAAAGATATGTTTTTAATTGTTGCTATATGAAAGTAGTAATTTGTCAATGTTGCCTTATAGCAAAATATCCAAGACACACAAAACCTGAAGTTTTGATTTGGAAAGATGCAATGGACTTTACAGTTTTCTGTGCCAATAAAAAGGCAAATTAAAAGGATAAGAAAATCCACCTAAGCTCAGAACAGTGACTTTCTTTTACTTATTGCTTTTCATTTATTTGTTTTACATACTATGTGCCCAAGGATATGCTAAGTGCTTTATAACCATTTTTATTATTTTTATACAACAATTCTGAATGGTTGATCTTACACATCATTTAACTTGGAGAAAATTAAGGCCTAGAGTTGTCAGAAAATAAAACTAAGCTGGGTTTTGCTTGTTGTACAAGGGAGAGCTATATTTCAGAAAGTTCAGGAAGTCTTCCTGAGAGCTGACAAAAAAGGGCCAAGCGGAATGTATTGCTCACTAGGAGGGATGCTAGACATTTAAGTTCTTTTTTTTCCATTTTGGTTAGTCATTTTTCTGTTTTTTATTATTAAATCATAAGCACTGGTTTTAATGAGGTTCTACGTGGGTTACGCAAGTCTCTGTAAAGAGCACATGCTTGGGATTTGGCAGATTTTTTTTCTTTAAATAAGTAGACAAAATTCCTTGTCCCATATCACTAGGTGTTGAGAGGAAGTATCCAAATTTTCGACACAGTCATTTCATTTGGAACTGCTTGTGTACCTTTGTTGTTGTTTGTTGTTTTGCTATGTTACCAAGTTAAAATCTTGGTTTAAAATAACTGTTTTGAAGTATAATTCTGTTCTTTAAAAAGACCTAGAGAAGCCAGGCATGGTGGCTCATGCCTATAATTCCAGCACTTTGGGAGGTTGAGGCCAGAGGATTGCCTGAGCCCAGGGGTTAGAGATCAGCCTGGGTAACATGGCAAGACTTCATGTCTATAATAATTTTTTTTAAAAATTAGCTGGGCATGGTGGCGTGCACCTGTAGTTCCAGATACTTGGAAGGCTGAGGTGGAAGAATCTCCTGAACCCAGCAGGTCAAGGCTGCAGTGGCAATGGGTGAGCCACTGCTTTCCAGCCTGGGTGACAGAGTGAAACTCCTACTCAGAAAAAAAAACAAAACAAAACAAAACCTAGAGAAAAACTTTCAGCAATTTCTAGTCCTTTGCTCCTTTTAGAAGTTCACATTTTGGCCGGGCCTGGTGGCTGAAGCCTATAATCCCAGCACTTTGGGAGGCTGAGGTGAGAGGATTGCCTGAGTCCAGGGGTTAGAGACCAGCCTGAGCAACTTGGTGAGACCTTGTCTCTACGATAAATCAAAAAATTAGCCAGGTGTGATAGCAAGTGCTTGTGGTTCCAGTTACTTGTAAGGCTGAGGTGGAAGGATCGCCTAAGCCCAGCAGGTCAAGGCCATGAGCCTGTCGCTGTACTCCAGCCTGGGCAACAGAGTGAGACGCCGACACTTAAAAAAAAAGTTCACATTTTAAACAACAACAACAGTGAACCAAGCGATAACTTATAAAATGCATGTGTGAGGTAATATGGCTTTGAGGCTTGTTCTTTAAATATTGTTTGGAATTTAGAACATTTAAAAGGATAATTCTTTACACAAATACTGTTTATATTTATTTAATTACTTACAGTGCTTACTAGATGCCAGATGTCATTCTGGTGCTTTAAAAATAGTAAAGAATATAATCCTCCTAAAAAACCAAAAGGTAGGTACAGTTTCTTTCTTTTCTTTTTTTTTTATATTTTGAATCAGACTATCACAGTCACCCAGTTTGGAATGCAGTGGCACACTCATGACCACCTCAACCTTGACCTGCTGGGCTCAGGCAATCCTTCTACCTCAGCCTTCCAAGTAGATGGAACTATAGGCACGCACCACCACACCTGGCTAATTTTTCAATTTATTGTAGAGACGAGGTCTCACCAAGTTGTCCAGAATGGTGTCGAACTCCTGAACTCAGGCAATCCTCTCAACTTGGCCTCTCAAAGTGTTGAGATTAATTTCATTTTTATGTTGAAGAAATTGAGGCACAGAGAGTTTATTTTTTTAATTTAATTTAATTTTAAAGATGTAGGATACAATTCAGGGTTAGGTATATAAGTGGTCATCATACAGATGAATTTTGAGTCTCTCATTGGTCCTCACTTCGTCTGGTTTGGGATTAAATAGCTTTATTAATGTTATATCCCCCTGCATCTCCCCCCGCCCCCCAGCAATTTTCTGCTTTGCCAACCCTTTCTTATAGTATTATGATAAATGTTCAGGATCTACTTATGAATGAGAACATGTGGACCTCAGTTCTTTGTTTCTGTGATAGATCACTGAGTATGATAGAATCTAAATCCGTCCACGTTGCTGTGAAGTCCATAATTTTGTCCCTCTTTATGGCTGTGTAATATTCCATCATGTATGTGTACCACATTTTTTTGTTCAGTCCACTTTCGATAGGCAGTACAGTTGGTTTCATGTTTTTCCTCTTGTGAATAGTGCTGCAATAAAAATGTGTGTGCATGTATCTTGTAGAATGAATTGAGTCCCTCTAGGTATATTCCCAGAAGGGAGATTGCTGGGACATATAGATACCACCTAACTCCAGTCAGGATGGCCATCATTAATAACTGAAAAAACAGCAGATGCTAGAAAGGATGCAGAGAGAAGGGTATGCTTTGGCACAGAGATGTTAAATAAATTGTCCACAGTTACACAGCTGGTGTGGGATCCAGGAGTTGATCTAGGTACTCTGACTTTAATGACCACGCTCCTGATCATCAGCTATGTTGTAACAAAGTGCTGACTACAGAAGACTTAGGGCACAGGAAGAAGTGCTACCATAAATAACCTTGCTTCTAACCACGATGGCTTGGGGCATTTTCATCCCACAAACTTCCTGTAACTTTGAGATAATGTCAACTCCTGGTTCTTTATGGGACTTCATATGTGTTGAGGGCTATCGAGCAATGCCCATGCATCCAGAATTGTTGGATTATTATTCCTTGTTAGTAGACCATCTGCAAGGAACCCTATTAGTAAGATTATTTGGATACAGTTGTCTGACTGTTGGCCTCATTGTCGTATTTTGAAATGTTGGCTGCATTTCATTGTGGCAAATTGCTTTTTGGAAGTACTTCTTCTACCTGAGGCTATTCTTTCTATTTTTATATTACTCATAGTTTTGAGTTATGTAGTTCACTTCACTAGTAGAATTGGCAATATTCTGTGTAGTGGTGGCACTTTTATTAAATATGGGGAAAAAAGTGAAGCTTTTCTTTGCCACCAATATAAAAGTCTGATGAGCCCTTGTAAAAATGAATGTGTAAAACTAAACTAAACTGAAAAGTCAAATTAAGGTATAGGTATAGTCTTTAGTTAATAAATATTATTAATAAACAAAATGAAGTTTTTGGTCTCTCCTTGTATTGTTTGAGATTATATTAGGTAAAAATGCAAACATAATACATGTTGTTCATTGGCACATTATCTAATCTATAAAATTTTACTTTCTCTAATGATATTCCTAAATATCATATTCTATTTTAGGTTTATCCTAAATAACATAATAATAAAATTGGTCATTCTCTATGACCTCCCCCAATATTGTTACATAGGAAAAATAAACTTTTTTCTATTCCCAAATAGCAGTTTAGGTAGTGAATTTCATTCTCACCTGCCAGGAATTTGAACAAAATTAAGAGCACCAGTCGGCCAAATTTCATTTTTGTCCTATTTTTACTCTCATCTCAGTACATCAAATCGGTTATGAAAAAATTGTGCTTCCAATGCTCCCTATGATGTCCATTTGTCCTTGTACTCTCTCAGATGTGGCTCTATTCCAGTTTCTCATCTGTGGCTCTTCTAGTCCTTTTAAATGCCTTCCTGGATAGGACCCAAAATTTGATAGAATCCACTGGCTTTCTCTTCCATGTGGTCTACATCTGTTTCCCAGAAAGCACTTAGGCACCGTTGTCCCTGTGATCAAGGGGGAGGTTTTGGCCAAGCTCAAAATAGTACCATTCACTTGTCTTTGTCCCCAAAGCACCCACACTGATGTCCTCAATTTTCCAGACAGGAGTCAGATCCTGATCCATGGTCCTCATCTGCTGGGAGAAACCAAGCTCTTCATGTGGCTCCCATGACTCTCTCTCACTATGTTTTAAGTTAGAAAGTGTCTTCCATCACCATTCCCCCTAGTGGTCATGGAGACCCTCAACGCCCAATTCTCTGCAAATAAATGTCTAATCCTTTATAGTGCTTCAGTGAGTAAGGGAGTATGAGAATGTCAAAATATGTGTCTTTGGAAAGTCTGCATATGAAGTTTTGAAATGTTTATCAGTCAATCTTAGTGTTTAGCTGAACTGTTAATGATAACTTCGTTTTACAATTATTAAAAAGAATTAATGACTATTAGTGACAAGCAAAGGAGATGGAAAATTCCTTAATTCTGTATTTGCTTTTCATGTTTATCACTTGAGTTAATCACAACAATTCTGTTGGGTTGGGAATATTATTCCCAATTTACAGAGAAGAAAACTAAGTTTCAGAGAGTAAATTTTTTTAAGATCATACAGACACCGTGGAAATAGAAATATCTGCTACACAACCACAGGTAAGATATGTATGTCCTATCACCAGAGTCAGCCTAAGGCTGCCCACCTCATTTCTCAGATAGGTACCTTTTTTTTTGAAGATTTGTATATAAAAATTGTTTAAGGTCATTTCTATTACTAACAATTTTGAACATAGCACATGATTTTAACATGTGACTGGATCTTAATAAATATGTTCTAATTTTTTTCCAGACAATAGATTTTGAAGGTTTCAAACTATTCATGAAGACATTCCTGGAAGCTGAGCTTCCCGATGATTTCACTGCACACCTTTTCATGTCGTTTAGCAACAAGTTTCCTCATTCTAGTCCAATGGTAAAAAGTAAACCAGCTCTCCTTTCGGGTGGTAAGTTTATTTACTTTTAAAATGTATATAGAGTAAAAATCTCAAAGGCTAATTCGACATCAAGTTCTCATAAAAGAGAAATGATAGTTTGCTTAAAATTTGTCTTTATTGCAGGATTTATACTTTCACACTAAGATTGTCTAAATCATTTAAAATGTCTCTAGTATAATAATAGCTAAACATTAGAGAAAATATAATTTATTATCTATCACATGTCTTGGAATTCTGCTTAGGTAATAATTTTAAAAGATATTTCTATCACACTTGAAAAACTGCTATTCTAAAATAACTAGAGAAATATAGATAGCTGTATATTGGAGAATGTAGTCACAATGTAGTTGTGTCTAGAAAACTTACACTATTTTATATCTATTGTGCTAACTATCAGTATACTTTCACATTTTTAGATTTGTAAGCTCAGAACAGAGTTTTGATTTTCAAACTTTTGCCACCATAGAGTTGGATGGTTCTCTCATTATGAGTAGTTTTTTAGAGACGTATTAATACCTGTTGTATCAATTTCCCTCCAGTTAGAAAAAGAGAAATTTTAATGTGTTACAAGAGAATGTAAAACAAGAAACTGGTTCAACAGTGTTAGGGAATTGAAAAAGCAAAACAATAATACTGAGGTCATGTAGATAGAACCATAGCAATCATGTGATGCCCCAGTGTTGGGGTAATCAAGATCCCGCAGCCTGTAGAAAGGACCTCTTGGAGATAGAATGGAGTTCTGAAGTGAGGGTGTTGCCTGGCAGATCTAGCCCTGGGCTTCTGTGGAGAGGGTACTTCTGGTTGACTGTGGTAGCTTAGGAGTTCAAGAATTTAAGGAGCTTAGATCTCATATAAGACTGTATCACTGTGGCCTGCTACTGGTTCTGTAGCCAGGAACTCAGGGTATCTTTGATGGTATGGAGAAAAGCTGGAGACTAAGTCTTCTTACTACTGGAACCACGTGGTACAGGGTTGAAATACTGGAGAGATTCTTTAGAAAGAGCAAGCCGCTTCGCTGGAACCACTACCCTTTCCTTCCTCCTGCCGTCTCATCTCTCATTAGTGGTCCCTACGGAGCAACAAGAATCCAGCTGGCAATAGAGAGATGTAGTCTACAGCAGTCTTTCTCAGGCTTTGATCTCAGGACCCTCTGGAACTCTTAAAATGTATTGAGGACCTAAAAGAACTTTTGTTATGTGGGTGATATCTATTGATATTTACTGCATTAAATATGGGATATTCTAAAAAAATAACAACAATAAATCCAGTACATGTTAACAAAAAATAGCTTAGTTTTTTTTTATGAAAAAATAACTATTTTGAAAAAAAACAGTGAGAAGACTGCATTGTTTTACACTGTTACGCATCACTTTAATGCCTGGCTTCATGGAAGACAGCTGGATAATCATATCTACTCCTGTGTTTCTGTTGCTATGTCATATTTCATGTAGCCTCTCGAATACTTCACAGTATACTCCCAAGAGAATGTGAGAAAGAAAGCAAATAATATCTTAATATTGTTATGAAAATCATTTTGACCTTATAGATCCCCTACAAGGAGTTCAGCAATCCCAGGAGAGCCTTGAATCTAGAGTTTCAGTCCTCTAAGTAGAACACAGATCTGTTGGCACGGTGAGAGGAGGACATTAGTAACTGGCATTCTGATAAACAAAAATTTAAAAACATATAATTAAGAAATAGGTGGTTGAGTCGCAAGCAAAACTATCAGATGAAGAGTCCACAATATCGAGTCCTATGTCGTGCTACTTTCCCTTCTGGTTAATGATGTAACTTATTTTTCTAGAGAAATCATGTGTTGGCACAAACTTTTTAAAACAAGAATACACTTATTACAAGATTATCCTTCAAGACATAGAACAACTAACATGCTACCATAATTTCTCATCTCTTATAAAATAATTTTAGTACCTTAAATAATTCCCTTTCTAGCATGGATTGAGAGTCCCCACCATACTTGCTATTTTTCCCTGAATGTGTTTTAGTTGATCTGTTCTTAAAGTTTGATATTGAAACTTAATAACGTTTGGGATGAACATTTTAAAATGAGACAAACCTTACTTTGGTCTAGAAATGAAAACTTCCCCAGTCTTCACTTCATACTATGAATATATTACACATATACTTTAAATGGGATAAAATAACAAAATTGTCCTGTATTTAATTTTATGTGAGACAACACTGTCCTTGGATTTTTAGAAAAAAGACGTGGTGATATTTTTTGATAATGTCTTTCTAAATAACTGGATCAGACATGGAAGAAACAGAACAATTATAAGAATTTAGGTGGTTTTGTAAGGAATTCAAATCTCAAACTTCCTTTCTTTTCTAATAGCATATATTAAGTACTAAATTGTAAATGTTAGATTTATTAAGAATAAAAAATTTAGCCGGGCTCGGTGGCTCAGCCTGTAATCCCACGCCTTTGGGAGGCTGAGGTGAG